CGTGAAATGATGGGGGTAGTGCAGAACTGACAAATTTCTAGACTTGCTTTTTAAATAGGTGTCATACATTTTGTACAACCTACAAAGCAAGTTCAGATCTCACAAGAGTGGCATGTTTTGACTATGTCGTACATAATTGATCCTTTTATGTTTTCTACATATTTACATTATTTCCCTTATCTGCATGACGTCGCGGCGATCACCGAAATAGCCCGACATCGGCGAGTTGAAAAAAAAAAAAAGAAAAAAAAAAGAAATAAAATGTAGTATAACAATTTGAAATTGTTATTTCTCTCACCTATTCTATGAATAATAAATTCATACAAAAAAAGACAACGGTCGACATACATCAAAAAAAAAGACCTCCACAGCAGCGGGTCATTGCATACCAGATGGAGCTACGAAGCAGATAATCATCTGTGCCACGTCTGCACGCAAGGGGGCAACTGGCGGTGAATCCACACGATCTAGCCCTTCCTACGTGGTTGTTGCCGCAGCCAGTCATTGTTGCGTCGGATCATCGATCGGCGGGCTGCTGGTGCGCAAAGCCAATCATTGGCGCCGCTGGTTTGGATGGGGTTTTAGTCTCGTTACACATTTGGCCCGAGCCATCCTGGCTATTTCGGAGATATGAAATTCATTCTGAACTAGATGGTCACTGGAGCAAATGGCGTAAATGACTCGAGAATAGTGGCGCTTGCTAACGGTTACGGCGGTTGAATTATTCATTCACTTTCTTCTAGGGATTCACTCAAGAGGGGATATAGTCACTAACCTTGTACTGAACACTGCTATCCTATATAACGTATCGGAGGTTTTCTCTTTGTGTCTTTCCCCTCTTTCTTTTGCTACACAAGCCGCGCTAGAGTGTGTAAAGGTAAGATGAACGTGCAGTCGATCTCTTGGCTCCACGGGACAATGCAATGCGAGGTTAAATCCAAGTTGCACACGGCCCCAGCTTAGTTCCATCACGCCAGATCCTGGCGTCGTGGTGTGTTGTTATTCGCGCGAGGAAAAGGTGGCGCCTGGCTCACAAATTTCCCCAAGTCACATGGAAAGCAGAATCATTGTAATATTGGCTTAGGGTTGTATATGTACCTCATAATATGATATCCACGCCTATACCTCCGTACTCCGTACCCACTTGGGCAACTTCTTACCGTGGACCTATGGTAGCAGCCGTATACGAGCGCTATCTCGGTCGATTCGTTTTTTTTTTAATTTGCCCCATCCTGTACAACACATCACTAGTCTGCAGGGAATATCCCTGTCAGTCGTCGGCTCTCGCTCAAATTCCCCTCGTGTCCGAGTCTCGCGCTGTACATCGTAAATATGTTGTACCACCCCTCTCAAAGGCCTTGTACCCATTGTGTCCCCGATTGTCAGTTGGCCTTATCTGGCATCAACGTCTGCCCAGACGGCTTCGGGCATATGCTTATGATGTGTGAGGTACAACATGGGGAAGCATGGCAGCCCCTGGTGAAACATGATAGGCCGGAACAGAAAAGGGAACTAAAAAAAACCCCCGCATATCGATCTGATAATAGTGCAACTCGAAGAAAAAACCGCGAAAAAGGAAGCAGAAAGAAAAAAGAAAAAAGAACTAAAACCCAAATTAAACAAAAACCTTCTATTCTCATGAGAAAAGTCTGGTCTGCACGGACAGAGTCTGCAGGGTAACTCGCTGCAAGGTACGGACGAACCCGTTGATCGACGCGAGATTGGCATAAACAGCGAAGTGGAGGTTGTAGGTATGGGGGCCTTGTCATGGAGAAGATTATGTATCTAATTTCTGTAACATCCATTTAATCCACCGAGTTGATAGTCACACGGAAAATGCCGGATCAAAAAGATATTCTTTTCTATAAATTGACATTTATATTTCAAATATTTCAAATACTTAATTATGACTAGGTATACCTATCATATCAGAGTATCTCCTTGCACTCGGCTCAACGGTTCCATACGACGCATCACACCCGAATTGCGGAGCCGTTTCAATAACTGTGGATTTATAGTGGATCTTTGGATTTTGATTATTCGGGGAGATTAACGGAAATATTATAAGAAGCAAAAGAATGAAAAAAGCCACAGCCGACTGGCCCCTCCTTCAATATTTTTATCAAATCCTCAGGCTATTTCCTGTTCTAGAAAGTATTGAGGCGGATCCCCCCCCCCTAAACTACTGTACGCTGTATGTGCAGCGGGTATCGGGCCGTCGATAGCGAACTGCGGTGCAGGGATCTGTCAGCCCCCTTTCTTTTTTTTTTTTTTTCGTACATGGCCTTGGGTACCTGCTTTGGCCTGCAAGAAAATAGTATAGTTCGCAGACATAACAGATAAAAGACCTACTGCCAAGTATTTCACATTGCAATATTAATAAGAATGCCATTGATATATACTGGCCCGTTTTTTCCCGACCCCATGTTCACCGACCTCTCAAGGGTCTGTGGGCAATATCGGCGCCACTTGCAGAACCCACTAAAGAATGCAAATAGGATAATTTGATGGAAATAATATCATCTCCCCGATCCTTAACCATTGGATCTAGGTCCATGTAGGGTGGTCAATGCATATCATGGAAGGACTTGAAAAAAGAAAATCCCTAGCTGTCACTTTTTTGGAATGCATGGGAATTGACATCTGTCAACCTTGAAGCGAGATTTTCGGGTTGGAAATCAACTCCATAGTTTAGTCTCCTAGTCTCTTGGCCTCTTAGGTCTCTCTTAGTGGAGAATAACAATAATAATCTAGAGTAATTAAAAAAGAGGGACAAAACGCAAGGGAACTTTGGCCTTGCCTCTTTTTTTTTTTTTTTTTTCTTTTCTTTTCTTTTTTTTTTTCCACTTGGGCTTACAGTTTTTTCTCTGGGAAGTAATAAGCGGTGTACTGGAGTTGAGTTGTCTTGATGTTCTCTTTGCTCCCCCTTACTGGGATCTGGCTCTGGGCATTACCTTTTTTTTGTTGGGCGCTGGGAAAATATAGGGGAAATAATGAATTAGAACCAATATTCATGTTATTTGCTATTATTCCTAGGATTATTATCCCGGCTATCCCGACTATCCCGACTGGGAACAGCGGTATCTATACTCCGTATTGTATGTGCCCGTAAATTGCAGACTTACCATTTCAAGAGGAATATGATCTACGCCCGTAACCGTGCTAGAGTCAAAGGATTAGAGAAGAGGAGTCTCTGAATGCATCATCACGGGGACTCTCAGTTGGGATCGCGATGCTACGTGGAAACATCTTTCAATTCGGGCTAAATTGGGTTGGACAAATATTCTAGAGGAATCGCTTTTTTAGTTTTGCTTTTTCTCCTCTCTACTTCCTAATTTTCTCATTCTGTTTCGGTAAGCGCCCTCTGACTGGTGTAGAGAACAGACCCTTGATCTCCTTCAAGCCACCCGTGTTTCGTGGTTCCTTCTGAGCCACTGGTTTTCCCCTCTGCATCCCTGGGGTGTGACGTACTTCCTTCCTTCTCTCTCCACTGTTACTCACGGCCCGTCTTAACGCCTAGATCGTCCCGAACCATAAAAACAGGCAAGGCCTTGGTATTGTAATTGTTGGCTTGTCAATTGTAGGTAATTGAAATGACCCACTTCAGTCGGTTATAGCCGTATAAGCTAGAGTTTGAATGGACTTGGGGGGTCCGGGGCCTCAGATACCCGAGAGGGGGCAAGCCTCGGCCGATGTCCGGTGAATGATTTGAATGACTTGAATGATTTGGCGCTGGAATTTTAACCGTTTCTTTAAGACGGACCTTGCAGTTAGCTACTGTACCCCAAATGGAGGGGAAAGGGTGGTGCAAGCGCTGGCTCCAGAAGCGGGAGAGTGCAATCGACGGTGCAGCCGCCGCGCATTACCGGTTCTTTTTTTACTTTGATGTCTTGCACGATGAAGGATCGGGTCGGGATTCTAATTTTCTCTGCACAATATAGTACTTATACTAGTCTGATTAGGTGTAATTTGGTATCTCACGGATTCAACTAACCTTAGATTCAACCTTGAAATCTTGGTATTTCCCCTTTCCCCGGTTGACTGACCATGGTTCACTTGAGTGGGACCCGCACGCGTGGAGAACCTTCCAGCCTTGGGAAGGTTGGAAACCCTCTTCTATTTTAACCCTGTTAGAGAGGTAATATGAAACTTTCAGGGCCTGTATAAGGTATACCATGTACGGAGCCATATACTCCGTGCACGTATTCAACTCTTGCAGTCTTGCGCGGCCAGAAATAGGATCCAATATCGGAGTAACCTCAATAAATTGAATCTAATCGGGAGACTCCACTAAGGAAATCAACTCCCAGATCCAGCGGGCCTATCCCGGCCGATCAGCCTGTTGCTTTTCTGCCTGTCACACAGACCAGGATCTAGGTATTTCTCTTTGACTGCAGTTTCTAGGTATAATTGGGAAATGATAGTTAATTATTGTTACTGGGGAATGATTTGCCTTTCTTACCTCTGTTGCGGATAGTCCTTGCTTGGTGGCGTAGAAAATAGTAATATAATAATCCCGTAAAAAAAAAAAAAGGAATAATAGAAACGAAAAAAAAAAAAAAAGAAAACAAAAAGGGAAAAAAAGAAAAGAAACAGAAAACAGCAGGTATCGAGTCTAGAGGATGATCTGAACGCACGGTTCTGGTAGTCACTTTCACTCCACTAGGTCCCACTGTGATTGATTCGACTCTCTCTCTCTCTCTTCCCTTTTTCCTCTTCGTTTCTCCCTCAAAAGACGGGGCAAGCCGGGATTTTCTGCAGACATTCTTCTCTTTCTTCTGCTCAACTTAGTCAGCTTATTTATCCTCCACTGATCGACTTTCCCGCTGCGGCTCAGCGTCATTTCGCTTCACCTCTTTTCCCCCTCTCTTAACCGCTGAGTTTCACGGTACGAATTCCCTGTTATTATTTTAAGCTCCCTTTCCCAATTTTTTACATTATATTTTGTTCTTTTTTTTTTCCTTTTCAAACGCCATCTATCCAGCCTGCAGTGCATAGGGATGCGTTTGCTGCACCACCCCAGCCTCCACCTTTCTGTACGTCCTAACGCACTTGTTTTCTCAACCCCCCTCGACTTGCCTGAGACTTTACTCGTTCCCCCTTCATCCGGCTTCGGCCATATTTGATCATTGAATGCGCTCCAATTTGAGAGTTTCTTCGATGATATGATTCCTGCATGACCTTGAAACGACCCAAACTTACGCCCTTCTGTTTAGTTACGCTGAACCTACCCGCACTTTGATGTGTTCGATTGACGATTCTTAATGATTCTGATGACCATTGTGCTTCTCTGAATTCGTCTACTTTTATTTTTCCAAAAAGAAGTCTTTATTGCGCTTCTGTCTAGGCCAACCGAGTCTTTACAAAACGTTTACGACTTACTACGAAGCTTCACTACGATATTGCACGCCCCTGCATCGCCTGCATTTTGCATCACTTGTACTTTTTTTTGATCGTTTGATCCTGAAAGCCCGTTGAAAGATTCGTTTGCAGTTCTTTCTCTTATTTTTTTCCCCTCCGTGCAACGTGCAACGTTCGCAAGATCCTGTGGATTTCCAATTCTGCAGCCTATATTGATAGCACGCCGGACGATATTTACTACGTCCGCTCGCTTCTACTCTCTATTCTAAACCGTTTATCCGTGCAACCGAAAAGCTGGAGCTGCCGTCGATCTCGCAGGTCCATACCCGCGGTCCTGCTGACATTCCCTGGTACAACCACCACGCAGCGGAACGACCGTTATTGCCCGGCGACAAACTCCCCGCTCTCAGCCTGCCGACAGCCCAGGGCCTTTCCCGGAACGCCTATCACGATCCGTCTTTGAGCAATTCCACCAATTCTAGCGCTCGCACAAGTCTGTCTGGTGCCTCCGTGCCAGCAAACGAACCTAGGAGCCCGCCGTCCTCTGCGGACCTGTCTGGGACCCAGGGCCGGCTTTCATTAGATTCTTCCGCGACTGAATACAGTCTCCCACCTTCGGTCAACGAAGGGTACTATCCGAGCCCGACTTCTCTCGGCAGCATGAACCAGGCCCAGCCGTATATGGATGTCCACTCGCACATGTCTTCTGCTCAATCATACGCTCCCCAAGGCGCAACCGCAGGCGCAATGTCCCACTATCAGTATCACGGGCAACCCCCCGTTATGCAACCCGCATCTTCTTACCCCCCGGCTGCTTATCCCCAATATGGATACGCGAGTGGCGTGACTTCACCCCCAACTGGACACCCCCCGAGCTCCATGGGCCAGATGCCGGCTCAGTTGCTACCATTGCCTGGTAAGCTCCAAAGCCAGAGTGTCGATGATTATTCTGATCGTTATCAAGTGAGCAATCACGCCGTGGCCCCTCCGAGTGGATATGGGAACAACACTGGTGCTCCCCTACAAGGATTCGTCTTTGATGGTACCGGTCAAGTTGCTCCTCCGGGAGCCAAGCCCCGAGTGACAGCCACATTATGGGAAGATGAGGGCAGTCTCTGCTACCAGGTGGAAGCCAAGGGGGTGTGTGTAGCTCGACGAGAGGGTAAGTGGATCTTATGGCAAGAGACAGGGAAGTATTTTTGACTAATTATTTCACAGACAACCACATGATCAATGGTACAAAGTTGCTCAATGTAGCTGGCATGACTCGTGGCCGACGTGATGGAATCCTCAAGAGCGAAAAGCTTCGCCATGTGGTGAAAATTGGACCAATGCATTTGAAAGGTGTCTGGTATGTATTTGAAGCCTCCAACAAGCATGTGTACCGTCCATCGCTAACTCTTCTCTAGGATCCCATTCGAGCGTGCTTTGGAATTTGCCAACAAGGAGAAGATCACCGATCTCTTGTATCCACTCTTTGTGCATAATATCGGTGGTCTTCTATACCACCCGGCCAATCAGACTCGGACAAACATGGTAGTGCAAGACTCTCAGCAGCGACGGTTGGAAGGTCCTCCCCCGGGTCCCCATCGCACGCCATCTGGCTCCCAGCAACCCCCGCTTCATCAGCAGCCTTCTATGCAGCCTACGCCCATGTCCTCTCACATGTCCCAAGGCCCAATGAGTGGCCAGCCTGGCTCGAGACCTGGCCTCGAGCGTGCGAACACATTTCCTACACCACCTGCCAGCGCATCTAGCCTGATGGGGGTCACCAATCAGAGCGGTTCATATGAATGGGGCGGACAAGTGCCACACACACAACCTTTGTCCATCGACACCACACTGAGCAACCAGCGCTCAATGCCAACAACTCCCGCAACCACCCCACCGGGCAACAACATGCACGGCTTGCCAGCCTACCAAGGCCAAGCCTACGACAGCTCCAAGCCCTACTACTCCGCGCCACCACAATCACACGCGCAATACGCGCCGCACACCCCACTTACCCAATCAGGGATGCCCAGTTACGGCCAATCCTTGCCCGGCGGGTACATGAAAAGCGAAATGGCGCCACCTAACCCACGCCCCGGCGCCTCAGAGCCCGAAACCTCCGAGCGCGACTCAAACCGCTACAGCCAGAGCAACGGGCCCGGCGAGCCCGTCGCCGAACACGACCAGGAGTACATGCCAGACCACAACACCGGATACAACTCCAACCGCGGCTCTTACACTTACACCACAAATCCCTCTGTCAGCTCCCTTACCGGCGAGCACTCCCAACTCACCCCGGAAATGACCAGCTCCCCGAGCCAGCAAAACGGCTCCGGTCGCATGACCCCGCGCACGGGCACTGGCCCCCCCTCCCCACTGGGCTTCGGGGTATAATACACCTCCCCGTCCTGCCGCTGCCACTACCCTGTACAACGCTGTCAGTGACACGCGCGGTACCCCTGTCAACGGTGCTTCCGACCCTTACTCCATGGCCTCGACCACGGCCCCCGTCTACGCGGCTGGGAATGGCTCGCTGAGTGCGGGTAGCAAGCGTATGCGCGAGGACGAGGATATCCGTCCCGAGAGTACCGCTGAGTACGAGACATCGAAGCGTCGCAAGACAATCACCGATTCTACCATTGGTGGCCCGGTTGGTGGCCCACCTATTCTCCAGCCAATGAAGCCTAGCGTGGTCATGGCTCGCCATCGGTGAGTGTGATTCAGTTGTCGGCTCTAGCTAGCTTGTGGTTCTGGTTCTGGTTCTGTTCGGGTCTTTCTTGGTTTTTGCTGGATTCCTTTTTTTTCTTTTTCTGCTGGGTCTATTTCTTGGTCGGAGTTTGTTTTTTATGATAGACTGCGCATGCACAACCCGCATGGCGCGTCGCGGCCTTGTCGGAGTCTTACCACGAGCATGTGGGAGACTGACAGCCCCGGCGGTGTCGAAACAAAACGAAGCTCACTTGTCTCTTTGTCTGCGTTTGTTTATGTTTTCAGGTTGAAGAAATCTCGGAATATCTAACCTGTGTGGGAAGGGAGAAAGAACTAGGCGCAAGATCTGTTCACGGTTCAACATTAGAAACGCATCCCTTGATACTTCCATGTTGAAAGACTTGTTTCTTGATTGAAGACTTGGATGGTGATCGCAAACCTGAATGACTACGATGTGACGAATCTCTTATGAACGAATTTTCTTTGTGTGATGACTTGACCACGAGCCATCTTCATTAACGAGTTGTTTTTCTTTTCTTTTTATCATTGATGCTTTATCATTTGTGCGTGTTCTGGGTTTTGAAAAGGATATTCTTTGTGGCATGGCCTCGGCTTTGGTTTTACTCCCCTCTCTCTACTTCTCTGCGCTGCTATTGCTTCTGCTTCTGCTACTGCCACTCTATTAGAGAGATGATTATCATGGTAATGAACGGTTATGAATCTGTGGGTTTGCATGCCTTTAGCGACATACAACGTTGGTTTTGGTTCGGTCTAGATGGATTGTTCTTTTTCCGACTTTTGATCCTTTTCTGTAAATGTAGCTTACGGAGCTTCTCTCGTATTATTGAGCTGTAGAGATCTACTAGGCTGATTTCATGCTGCAAGCCCTCTGGGATATCATCAAATAGAGTCTTGTGTCATTGTATGAGGTTTCTTTCTACTTTTACTCACATCTCGTTACGTAACCTGATCGACCCTACCAAGCCCCAAACGGCAAAATCATAACACATCCGAACCATGGTTCATTCCGCTTCACGCCACGGCGACTTTCGTCAATTTCAATTCAAACACAACTACATGTCCGAACACCCCACCCCGCCCAAACTGACCCTCAAAATAACGAATGGATAACCCTGTTACGAATCCGCAAGATAAGAGCCAACCATGACTACTGACCGACTAAAACCATCCACAAAACCGCAACCCTCAGAACCTCGAAACCACCACCATTTCGACCCCTGGCAGTCAGCCTCAACAGGACACCAGCGCGCAGCTGAAGCCGGCGGTTTCCTCGGGTCAACGTCATGGCGAGATGCGCGCTCTGCGAAATTGACCAGACAGTATCAAAGTGGGGATTGTCTTCCGGGGCGGGGAAAGGTATTCGGACAGGGAGTGTGGAACACAGCACCACGGGACTCGACGCTTGTACCTGGCGCGTTTGATGGGAAATGCGCGCAGTCACCACCGGCGCCTAAAGCTTCCGGTGAATGGGCTATGGTTGCTGGGGATGTGGCTAAGCGGACTGAACTCGGTGTTCGGGATATCCGGTCGTTTATGGGTGTTAGCAAGCGGAAGGCTGTAGATGACATAAAGGTGGAGACGAAGAAGCCTCGGACTATTATTGGAGGGGAGCGGAGTCAGAGTCCAACTCCGAATACAAAGGAAAAAGAAACGGAAAAAGAAAAGTTTCGAATAGAAGACATTCCCCAACCCGAGGCCCGCTCTGGCGCAAGCCTTGATCTGAAATCGACTTCGCATATCTTCGCCGGTGTTACAATCTTCATCAATGGCTCCACTCTCCCCCAAATCTCGGAGTATAAGCTGAAACACCTACTCGCGTCGAACGGGGCGAAGACTTCTATCTACATGGCCCGGAAGACGGTGACGCATGTTCTCGTCGGACAACCCAATACCGGGACCGGGAGTGGAGCAGCTGTGTCTGGTGCAGGAGGGGGTCTTGCTGCGAGTAAGCTCCAGCAGGAAATTGCCCGTGGGGGGTGGAAAAGTGTGAAGGTTGTTAGTGTGGACTGGTATGTACTATCTTGATACTGTTGAATGACCGGCGAGTGGTCTTTCTGACGTTCAGCTTGCTACCACTAGGGCTCTCGAGAGCATCAAAGCTGGGTGCCGTCTTGCGGAGTCCCGGTTCCCTGGTATGCATGTTGCGGCCAAGGGGCAGAGGAGTGTTGCTGGGATGTTTGGCGTGCAGGGGAAGAAGTGATCTTCTTTTACATGAACATGGTTGACACTTAGCGACTTGGCTTTTTTCTTTTTTGGTTTGTGTTGCATTGCGCATGGCATTTTGCCATGTATGGCGTTCTGGATGATGCTACTTTAAACTACGTACACTTATGATACCCATGATCTATGATCACATCGAATTAAATCTGATTGCCTGACTATGGAATATCTGCTTTGGAGTTTCTCTCGTTCCATTGACTGATGCACTACCGTTGCCGATATAACTTATGATGAATGACATTTGTACTTGAGGTTCTCATTTCATTAATCAATCATGCACCATTATCATGACATCCATTATTTACAGAATCAAAATCAAAACCACAATCATAATCATGTACAAATCGATGATAAAACGCGGTTCGATCACAGAACACAAAATAGTCAGGGAAAAAAAAACAGACAAGAAAAGAAACATCAACAAAGTCTCCCAATAAGCGCCATGGCCATGCTAAATACAACATGAGAAAGAAATCGTGATATATGGGTCATAAATCAGAATCCCAAGATGGCTATATAAGCCTGATAAATCGCGAAGCTTTCTCACATTCACCTGAAGGAACCTCTCCTACCTCCGCGTGCAGCATATGTCTCGCCATCATGACTGCTGTTGTCAGAAATATGCCGACGCCAGCCGCTCTGTTGGCGAGTCGGGATGGTAGACAGGCGATCATTGTAGTCTTCTGTCTCGCCAGAGACAGTCGTTACCATATCAGACTCTGAAGAGACTGATCTCAGGCCCGATGCATTGGTTTCGCTGGACATGAGGTCGAGTGTGGTGGTGGGCGTGATATCAGGGAGTGGTGGGAGGGGGTTTGGATGGCGGTGGGTAGAAAAGGAGGATTGGGCGGGAGGTGGGGCGCGGGAATGGGGATGGACAGAAGAGTTCGTCCGGGTGCGAGTTCTGCTGCCGCTGCCCCTCGATGAAGGGTGCCAGCCCTCTTCTTCGTGAGAGAGGGGCTCCGGGGACGAGGTGGCTTGTCGGTTATGGGGGAGGTAGTAGGGGTTGTGGGACTCGGAGTGGTTGTGGTGATTATCCTCATATGCAGGGAATGCGGCAGTGGACATGCTGGACACGGAGTCGCCATGTGGCCGGCCGGCGAACATGGGCTGGGGCTCGCCAAGTTCTGACTCGGCGCTCGACCACCGTTCTAGCTTTTCGTTTAGGAGTTCGTCTTCTGGTCGTGAATGGCGTGAGTCGCCGTGGACGAGACCGAGTGATTCTTCCTCCGTTGCGGTCTTGCGCAGGTCGGCTTCCAAGTGCGATCGGCGTAAGATGCCACGAGGCGGCGAACCTGGTGGGTGTCTGACGGGGGATTCGCTGCCAGCCTTCCCACGGCCCATCATGTTGTTGAAAGAGAACTGGCGGCGGGCAGTGTTGGCGAGAGGTTCGGGTGCCAAACTTTCGGGCTTTTCGTCTGCCCATGATATAGACCGCGGCGTATCGCTACGCGGTCGGTTTGGGTTGAACGGGGCCTCCAACCCTCCAGTCATACTGGCGCCATGGTATTCGGTGTCAGCATTGCCACTTTGGTGTGGCATATCTGTCATGCCCATCGATTGTGTGTTGACATTAGGATTTTTCTCCTCTTCTGTATTTACGGCCTTCCACTGGGAAGGATGAAGTACGCTGGTAGCCCGAGACCGAATATTATCCATGAAAGAATGACCGCTTTGCTTGGTGTTTGGTCGTTGTTCCTCCTCGGGCTCAACAGCGGGCACCCGGGACATGCCCCACGGTGGATGTTGTTGTTTGACTGAGGGTGTTCGCGGAGTGATTGGTCGTGACATAGTTGGTCCCTCGCCAATGACAGTCTTGCGCCGGCGCAGGCCATCCCATTCAATTATCTCATTCTCGCCTGGCACTTTCAGCGTATCCTCATGTTTATCATGGAAGAAACGACGGGCTTCATCTGATTCCATAGTGCGGCGAGCAGTTGAAATGCGACGGATGATAGAGGCCGCACCTCGAATGGAGTCTGCCTTGGGCTCAGACTCGGGCTCTTCCACCGCGGCGACCTCCCGAATTTGATCCAGATCGCCCTTGAAGATGGCAGCATCGGGGACGTCCTTGGCAGACTTGGATAGCTGCAGCAATACAACACCAGCACAGATTTGCAAGAACCCAATGATTACAGTTGCAATCTGAATGCCTGTGCCTTTGAAGCCCTGGAACAGGATGGCAGAAGTGACAATGGTGGCGCTAGTAAACATCACATAGTAAGTCGGGGTGACCAAAGCGGCGTTGAAAAGATTCAGCGCTTTCTGTATAGCAATGTTAGCACATGTATGAGACATGAGGGGAGTGAATACGTACATTGAGGTAAATAATCTCAGTTAGCAGTGTTCCAATAACAAACACAAACAAAACATAGAGGAACCAATGCTTGAACTGCTCCTCGCCATTAATCTGAGCGAGGATAGCAGACCCCAAGCCTTGGGTAGCCACGACACTCAGCCCACCAACCATGCTGCAAATACTGATATAAACAAACATGCTCGACTTTCCGTAGCGCGGACCAACCCAAAGAGCGGTAAAAGCAGCTCCAATAATGATCAGCCCAGCATAGACCAGAAACCCAGGCTGAATAACAAAATGCTGCATGCTCTGAATGTCCTTGACAGACGATTGCTCAGGTGCATTCATAGCGATAGTCACAGATCCAATAATACAACAGAAACAGCCAACCTTCCCCACGAAACTAAGCCGTTCCTTGAGGAAAATAGCTGATAGAATCGTCGTAATCACGACCGAGAGCGCACCAAGCGGCGTAACCAAAATCGCATCGACGAAAGCATACGCCACAAAATTGCAGATCTCTCCAACAATCATCAGCGTCATGCCAGTCCACCACCAGAAATTCTTCAGATATCCATATCCCTCGCCGGCCTCCTCATTGTACTTCACGTTCGCCTTCAGCAGGCCGATTTTCTTGACCACAAACGAGATACCAATGAAGATGCCCGATGCGACAGCCAGCGAAATACCGACAGCCTTGTATACTGGCGGGCGACCTGAGGTTTCTGTGCGCGCAAGGAGGTTGTTTGCATGCGATAAGGCGAAATTGGGATCCATGATGGAGGGAAAACCACACTGACCAGCAGTGGGAAGAGGCGAAAAGTTGTGTCGCGGGGACAGAGAGTCGTCCGAAGACGAGACTCAGCGACTATTTGAAACACTTATCTACCCTACCACGATATCGATAAAGACTGGGCGTATCGCCGGGGCGATTATCACTGGCTGAACAACAATCTTGGAAGGGTTCCGAATCGCAACAACTTTGGTGGGGGAATTGTGATTTGGAATATTGGCGATCTGAGAATGCTTCTGGAAAAGGTCCACGAGGAAAGAAAAATGGTGGGATCCCGCAAGGGGGCGCGCGTCAACTGTTGGGCGCTATGACTTTCAGCTCAGATGGCAAATATCGGATTTCGAAGGTGTCAAGGTAAAAGCTAAGAGCAAAGAATCATTAAGGATATGAAGAACACATTTAAAAAAAAAAAAAAGAAAAGGGGAAAGGGAAAGATCGAGCAAAACAAAGAGGCTGGGTGTGTGGGGAAAGGAGGTACTGCTACTTCTGGCCAGGGCGGGCTGGACTGCGATCGACAGGTACTTGTACCTTTGGTATCGGCTTATATGGCTTAATTTATGGAGATGTTCAGGCCTACGGAGTACATATTGTACGGATCAACAGGGTGGCAATTTACTCCTACGTAGGCGAAAGTATCTCTTGAAGTCCCCCTTTTTTTGCTCATTACTATACAGACCATTCGCACATTTGGGGTCTCATAAATGTCGTCATTCATTATGCCAGAGGCCACTGGCCTTGGTAGGGGGCATGCGCCTAAGACGCCGTATCAGCCCTAATCAACCATCTCAGCAGAGGGGTATTCAGCAGGAAAGACATAGAAACAACGTAGTACACATGTAAAAAATAAAATAAAAAAAGGGTCTCGAGATCAAACGTGACAAGGGATCATCGTACGTGGTAGCTAGGCTTCCGTTGCCGGTTCACCGTTGGTGGCGGCTCATCAATTGGGTAAGGAGGCCGGGCTTTATTGTTCGAGTTAGACGGTGCTTGGGAGAAGAGCGGTGCGGGCATGGCCACGCCGCCGTCATCTTGAGCTGGGTATGGGATGGGCGTCTTGGGTGGCACTGGTGGCGCCATGCCATTGATTGTAAAATACTCATCACTGCGGGAGGGTGAGCTCTGTTGTTGCGAGCTTGGTCGGCTTGCAAGCTCGTGGCTTCGACGATGATCACTGCCAGATTGCCGGGGTGGGGAAGTGGATATGCTATCCTGAGGTGTTGGGTGAACTGGAAGCGCGTCATCCGGTGGTGATGTAGTCACCACAGTTGGAATAGATGGCGGCGCTTGTGAAGGTGGGTGGTGATGTGCGAAGTCAACAAACTCAGCAGGTAATTCCGCAGGTAGTTCGACAGCGAAGTGCGCAGGGGGTGGAATGTGTGATTGTGATTGAACGGGAGGAAGAGAAAGCTCTTCATTCTCAAGATCAAAAGATAGATCGTCGCGATCCCCGCCAGCTGCGGCGTGGGTCGCCAGACGGCGGTTCATGCGCTCGATTTTGGCAAATCTGACACCTGCTTCTAGGATCATCTTCTTGACTTCCGGCCTGGCCAGATACTGCCGTGTGTTGGTGCTGATATCGGCTAGCCGGTTCCATTCGTTCATACCAAACTCGCCAACGCCGACCTCGACGTTGAGGCGGAAATAATTGTCTTTGCTGACATTGCGCTTGGCGAGACGGTCTCGAAGCATCTCATTGTGGATGTCCTCGCAGCCTTCGATCTTCGTCATCAGTCGACGCCGCGCTTCAGCGAATGTGCCAAAGGAGTCGCCGAAGAAATCCTCCCACCATTCATGTTGTCGGTTGTTGGTACCAGCTGGGCGCTTTCCAGTTCCCACACTGATAAAGACCCCAACTTCCCGACCCGGCCACTCATTCACAATAGCCTCATCAAGGATCAGCGGCGCGGGGTTGAATGTTCCATGGCCCTCATCAATAAAGTGGTGTTGACCAATCTGAATAGGCTTGAAGGCAAGCCCTGTCGCAGATGTCGCACGTCCTGCTTGCCAGACAGTGCAGTCGAATTCAGGTGGGGGTTCTCGGCGGGAGTCGTACGACCGTAGAAGGACAGCCGATCCTTTCCGCGGGGTGCCCTTATACATAGCAGTGACCGCACTATATTTCATCAGTACTAGCGACCTATATTATCACATCGTAAAGCTCACGTTTTCGTCCGATTCTCTCGGTTATCATAAAGCAGCGCATCTGGATTACCCCAACGCAACCCATTTAGAAAAACGGAGCCTCTTTGGCTTGTCGGAGACATTGGATGCGAAGCAGCAGCGGTGCTGAAACTGCCCCGACTTATAGAGCGCTGTGGAATAGAGGCTGGACTATATGGCAAGCTGGCCATAGAAGCCACAGATTCACGATTGGGGGAATTCCCCGTGTCATTTCCCTCCGCCTCGAACACTGTATGTTCCCGCACACATTCCCGGATCGCCTCCTCGAGTTTCGAGGCCTTGAACAAAGTCGAGCGGTAGGGAATACCAGCGATGGTCTTGTCGGTCTCGAATACTTTGCGAGTCATGCGTACGTATACTTCTTTGCATGTCTCGAGATCCAGGCGGAGGCGACCGAGCATCAGAGCGATCAAGCCGCCAGTGCCGGTACCGGCGATCAAGTCAAAGTGATCGCAAGGTTTGGGAATCTGGTCGCGACGCGGAGGCTTACCTTCGCATTCAACATAGGTGCGGTACATGAGTTCCTGGAGGAGAATAAGCATGGAGTATCCACGAACACCACCCCCATCTATTCAGGTCAGCTGAGTGATATTGGCCGAGATGAGAGATGATACTAACCTAGAGACAGGATCCGCAGTGGGGGGCCCTTGGTGGTGTCCTTGCGACGCAAATGGTCTGGATCCATAGCCATTGTAGCAGTTATGTTTTGGAAGGATTAAGATCGCTCTTTTTTTTCCTGCTGCGGCAGCTTACCCGCGGCGGGGCTCAGCGATGCCTTATGCACCGGATCGCGGGATGTTTGGCGCCTGACCGATCAGGTCTTGGAAAGAGGTAGAAGTGTCACACACGTGAAACACAAATCGAATGCAGCTCTGTTTGGATGCGTGACAGGTCAACGTAAGAGTTGAGTGTGGACTCCAAACAGGCAGCGGTGTATGGATGATCCGAGGGGCTTGAGCCACAGTCCCTAAATAGTTCGGTAAGGCTGAAGGTAAGGGTGAACTTGACACAGATGTATAAGAGTACAAAGTCACAGAAAGCGAAAAACGAAACCGGGTCAAAAGTTATTGCAAGAGTTATTCTTAGAAATCGAATCGTCCACATCCAGTTGCCTTTCCATGGATCAAGAAAGTCAGGTGATGAGCAATTGGTGGCGGTGTCCATGATGTAATTGTGGCTGTGTATCAAACTACTTTCAAGGTTGGGCTTCTCATTCGGGCTTCACCTGGTTCAAAGCATAAGTAATAAGAGTCAGTACTATTTCAGTCAAGAGCAAGTCAGTTATAATTATTCTAGGATAAGAGTTTTGCCCGAAATCGCTATATTGTAATGTAATTCCACCCTCCAACATGACGTCAATTCCCTAGATATCTATATACAACATACAATAGAGAGATCTATTTATTCTCAATTCGTCAGGCCAGGCCAATCTAAAGAATCCAATTAGCACCCACTCCCACAATTCCCCAGAAAAAGGATAAACACTCACCAAAAACAGATCTTCTAGTTCCTTTCTCGGCAACTATAACCTCATCCCCAACCCTCAGACTAACCCCCTCGCCCTTCGGTTCCAAGAAAGCATATCTACCAAAAACAGGACTGTATTTCGCCCCAGAGTCCACCCTGCGATCCTTCATCAACTTCTTAAGCACAGCACCGGACTCACCAGTCCCCATCTTCCCAGTCTCGTAATCAACATTAAGGCTCTGGCAGCGTACACAATTCCCCGTCAGCAACAGCTTAGGTGACCCGCGCCCTGATCCTGCGCTCACAGTCAGCGCACCCCAAAAGTCCTCCTCGAAGGCCTCCCCAGCCCCTGAAATAACAATATTAGGCCGGAATTTTGTGCGGTCCATCTCTTCCCCCTCCGGCAGCCGCGCTGAGACATTATCAACGGATGTCTCGGAGATAACGAGATAAGGCGCGCAGTCCGCAAAGGTAATGCGATCCTTGTTCTTTGCGTGCTGAGTGTAGAAGTGAAATAGCACCAACGCTAGCACCGCTGCACTAGCAGTGAAAAGGAGCGTGGGCGTGAGATTGCGAGCTGTTTGGGGGATTATCCCGTCGCGGAAGAGGGTACTACCCTGAAGGAATATATTAATCCCAGAAGCTACAATGAGAATCAGAAGGGCCCGCTCCCATTTCCTGTCGGGTCTTGTTAGACTTTCGCGTATTGTGCGCAGCGCAGACTTTTTGTCTTGCTTTGCTGGCGCGAGTGTGCCCAGTACCTCTCTTGAATTTGGTCCAAGGTAGGCTAGGACAACCGGGTACCCGAAGCAGGCGCTGAACCAGTCGTTGTACTCTGCGCCCATGTTGTATCCTGTCGTTGGGCTCTGGTGCATTACCACCTTGAGGGGTTTGAGGCTTTTGGGGTTGGGCTGGAGTGGGATTTGCAGTCGGTTGGTTTTAAGGGCTTTGGAAGCTGGCTCTGATAGAGGAGGGTTGTATGTGATAACTAATTTCCCGCTGTCCTTGTCTGTCTGTGGATATTCAATGTCGGTGTGGAAGAGGGCCATCTCTGGGAAGTGCGGGACATGCATGTTCTTCAGGGTTGTGGTGCCGGAGCCATCCTCAGCTCCGATGACTTTGAGGAGCATGAAGTGGCGGTCATATTGAAAGCCCCGTGTGGTTAGGATTCCCTCCGTAATTGTTGTTGGTCGGAGGGATTTAATCGGGTAGACATAGAGCTGACGGTGGGTCAGTATTTTGTTTCCCGTCGTAATTGCATGTTCGTACCTGGCTGACTTTCATGATTGTAGGTGAAAGTCCTGTAGAAAATCCTGTAAATGAAAAGAGTGTTGTACCTCGATGCGGTGTGAAAGATGATAAGCCGATCTCGGCCCAGGTAAGATGATGACATCGTTCCCCGGTTTCCCAAATTAGACTTTGTGGAGTAAAGTCCGCCCATTTACTTTACTTCGTATCTTGTCTAGAGAAAATTTCAATTCTTTTTTCTAGTCTTAAATAAAAAGGTCTTCAGTCATATTCGTTTCGAAATCATGCAAAGAAATATACAGAGGGAATCAAAAAAAAGAAAAAGAAACGTCTACTGGTCCTCAGCCCACGGCAAGCTGAAGGTACCAACCCAATCTTCCACCTCTTGGCGGAGCACAACAATCTCCGAGATCTCCTCACCCTCGCCCACGTACTCCAAGAAGGCCTTGACAGTATTCGGGTTCTTGACACCGCGGGATTGGGCCGATTCACGGGCAGCCTTGTCCAGCTTCTGTGTGATGGTGACCGCGCGATCAACGATATCGGCGACGCGGGTGAAGTCCTCGGGCTGGAAGCCACGGGAGGTCATGGCTGGGGTTCCCAGACGCAGACCGCCGGGCTTAAGTGCGGACTTATCACCGGGAACGGTGTTCTTGTTGCTGGCGACACCGCACAGCTCGAGAACACGCTCAACGCGGGCACCGTCCAGGCCGCGGTTCTTCAGGTCCACTAGCACCAGGTGGTTATCGGTGCCACCAGACACAATGTTGTAACCGAGTCCACCGTTGCTGGTGGAATCACCTAGACGCTGGGCTAGAGCAGAGGCGTTGAGAAGCACTGTCTTCTGGTAGGCCTCGAAATCGGGCGTCTGAGCTTGTTTGAGGGCCACGGCCAGCGCGGTAATAGTGTGGTTGTGAGGGCCGCCCTGGTGGCCGGGGAAGACGGATGCGTTGATGGGGTTCTCCAGATCGTACATGATAGGATTTCCCTTCTTGTCGGTGCTGCGCACACCCTTGCGGTAGAAGATCATGGCTCCACGCGGGCCACGAAGAGACTTGTGGGTGGTGGTGGTCACGACATCTGAGTAGGGGAAGGGAGATGGGAGCACATCGGCAGCCACAAGACCCGAGATGTGGGCCATATCGGACAGCAAGTAGGCGCCCACGGAGTCGGCGATCGCGCGCATGCGCGGGTAGTCAATCAGACGGCTGTAGGCCGAGGTACCCGCGACAATCAGCTTGGGCCGGTATAGGGTTGCCGACTTCTCCAATGCATCGTAGTCGATCAGGCCAGTCGACTCATCAAGGCGGTAGGGGAGGGTCTCGAAGTATTTGGAGATGGCGGAAATTTTCTTGGTAGGGGTCTGATAACCGTGGGACAGGTGGCCACCATGGGGAAGGTCCAGACCCATAAGGCGGTCGTGGGTGTTGAGGAGGGCAGAATAGGCCATGAGATTAGCGGGTGAGCCCGACAGAGCTGGATCAAGTTAGCTTCGGATATATCATGGGACTGCGAGGACTGTATCGTACGTTGAACGTTAACTCCCCATTCCTCCGGGTTCAGACGGAAGGTCTCCAGGGCACGCTGCTGGCACAACCGCTCGGAGGCATCAATGTGTTCATTTCCTCCATAGTAACGGGCACCAGGGTATCCCTCGGAATATTTGTCTAAATTGCGGTTAGGATGCTCTATTAACCAAGCAGAGGCGGGAATTCGGAGTACATACTTTGCATAACACTGCCAAGGGCATCGAGAACAGCTTGCGAGGTGAAGTTCTCGGAAGGGATCAGATTAATGAAGTGCTTTTGACGGTTTTTCTCCTGGAATAGTTTTAGCAACTCGTCGGTCAATTGGTGAGGTCTCCATCAGCGATGACGCACCTTCTGCAGGATGTTATAAACGGCGGGGTCGGACTCCTTCAGCGAGGCCGCCAGCAGCTATTAAATTATCAGTTTGCATGTTCCGCTTGCCATTGAATCCATTCGGATCACCAACCTTGTGCTGCGTATCGCGAGTGGACGCTACTCCCCGCGATTGGGGGGCCAATCTGGGCACGATAGCGCGAGCGGAGACGACGGCTGCCCGGGAGCTCCCAAGGGGGAGCAAGCGAGCAGCAGATCTACCACAGCGAGACAAATACATGATGAAGCTGAAGAATGTCAATTCTCAAGCAGGATATTATGTACTTAGCCGATAGGAAAGCGACGGCTTTTAAACTGATGCTTGTCGGACGAGCACTGGCATCTTTCCGTTGCCCGCGGAAAGCGGGAAGAATGTACTAGTCCCGTTTGAGCTCTCCGCCTGGTCCGTGCGCCAGATGTTGATTTATCTTCGCTCGGCAAAATCTTTTCCTCCTTTTCTTCTTCACACAACTAAATCCAAGATGAAGAAACGGCGTTTTAATCTGTGTCAGCACTCGTCGGTGACGGCTGGACTTCGGTCTAGCTGGCGCTGGACGGGCGCTGCTGAAAGGTCCCACGCCTCTCAACCATCCTTTGAGGGGCCAGTACCATCGGATTGGAATTGTTGTGTTGGTTCACCTTATTGGTCTACTGTGTTGGATCCGAATCTCTATGAACCTCCCCCTTCGTGGCAACAGTTCCACTGTCGCATTGTTGACACTAGCACAATGAGGACATACAATTCTCGTATGCTCCGAGTGACTCTCGAGTACACTTAGCAGCTTCATAGTATATAGTCGCTACTATTAATATTCACATGGTTTGATCTTTTGCGTTCCTGTCTCGCATTTCCCTACGTTGTGCGCACTTCACCCTCCGTAGATGGGATATGATCCAAATACGTTCAGTAAGGGGTCACCGTATTTGGCGGTGAGATTGTAGCTTGTATTATAGGAAAGCAGTAGCTTCACAGTGCTATAGTGACCTCGACCAGTCACAAGCGATATAGCCGGGAGATGCTTTCTGCAATGCCGGGCGGTTCCAATAGACTCGCTCAATGTGCAAGTAGCTGGTTAGCTATCTCTGGGTCGCGCTGGTGAGCGGCCCAAGCAGGAATGACGATCTGGTGGCTGTGTCTCGGCGATCACTCTATTTTCAAGCAGAACTCGCACGTAGATCCTTCCCCGATTGCTGCCCATAGAGCACCCTGCTTTTCAGCAATTCTCCCCAAGAAGTTTGGCGATACCAAGGTGCCTTTCTTTCGCTGCGTATCTCAGTATTATCGTGAACGTTGGACGGTCAGTAAGCGCCCCATGATCAAGCAATAATTTGACGATTGGCTCAGAGCCCAGGTATGTGGCTTGCTCGAGGAGATTGCTACTGAGAGGGCTCTCATCCCAATTATTAGTGGCCCAGTGTGGAATCGGATTCGGATCGATACCATGCTCCATCCAACAGAAGGCGTACAGTGGCTGGTCTATTTTCAAATATAGCCAGATACAAGCACTCCCATCTTTTTTGCCATATTTATTCCGGGAGTCTCGCTTTGAGTGCAAGCTGTACAGTTGTACGTTACCAGTTACCGCTGCCCAACGCAGGGCGCGGTGGGAGTAAAACTCGGCATCTCATTGATAGAGTAGCGTTCTGCATGTTTGGATAAGAGGGTTGGGAGACTACAAGTCAAGGGAGAAAACATGTGTCAGTGGATCAGGCGTGAAGTAGGAGTTTTCCAAGGACGAGGGATTGTAGTGACTCCATTATCAGGTATTGGAAAATCAGGTGAATAATCTCAGATGGCAGAGCTAGAAGATGCATTTTTACAAAAGTCTGACCTTGGAAACCTTGGAACTTGGGATTTTGTTTAACCAAGCGATCAACGGGGTCATGGCGGCCCATGGATACATCAGTGTTGTATATAATACAATTGGTCTGATTCAAGAGATGCTTTGATTTCTAGTCTATATAATCTGGAGAAAAGAGGATAGCAAAAAAGGCCTAATTTGGGCCTTTATTTTGAGGGGATATCTAGGAAATGAGAAACATAAGCCATTTAAACCATAATTTTTCTAGCATTCAATGTAAACATAGTGTCCAGAGAAGAGATATAAAAGATATAAAACTATATATATCAAAGAACCTAGAACAAATGGCCAATGCCGAGAGAAGTTGGCCTAACCTTAGTCCACTCCCGCCTAATTGGGAAACGATCCACCGGCCCACCCTCGAACCTGTTCTTGAGGGCGTGCGCTTAAGGGAAAGGAGGGCGCTAGGGAGAAGTGACTTTGATTTTCATAGTAATTTCATAGGACTATCAAGTACCTTTTCAAATTACCCAGATCCACCATTGTTTATTGAATTTTTTTTTCTATTACCACTTCCCTGTCTTTGCCCCTTTTCCCGTTTTTTTTTTGTTTTCCCCCTGGGGCCCTGACCTTAGTGGCACGGGTACCTGAATCTCATTTAATATTACAATTGGTTATAAACTCCTCTTCCCCCCCTTCTTCTTCCCTCTTCACCCACGCTTACATTCTCTAAATTCCCGGTTTTCAACCGATTACATTCTTTTAAGTCGTCATTGATTCCTGCATATAACCTTCTATCTGAACATTTTTGGAACCATTCCGATCAACTCTTATCACAATGCGTTTCTCTATTGCCACTCTCGCTCTCGCCGCCGGTGCCATGGCCAATGTTGTCACCGAGACTGTCACCCAGTACACCACCTACTGCCCTGAGGCTACCTCCGTTGTGCACGGAGGCCACACCTACAGCATCTCCACCGTATGTTTTACCTTGACGAAGTCTGCCGACGTATATTAATAGTATTCCAGCCCGGCGTCATCACCATGACCCACGGCCCCTTCACCGTCACTCGTCCCATTGTGACCTCCTCCGTGACTGAGTGCAAGAGCTGGTAAGAATCTCTCTCCAATTTAATCAATTCAATCTAACATATTCAGCTCTTCCTCCATCCCTGCTTCCTCCACTCCCGTGATCCCCAGCAGCATCCCCCTCGTCCCCGTGCCCGGTGTCACCTCCACCCCTCTGGTCCCCGGCTCCGCCACCACCGGTGCTCCCAGCGGCCCCATCGGTTCCTCCACCGCCACCCCCTCCCAGCCTGCCTTCAACGCCGGTGCCATCAACGCCGCTACCGGTGCTGGTGCCGGTCTGGTTGCCGTCTTCGGTGCCGTTGCCCTCTTGCTGTAAAGCAGTTGAGTGTGTCAATGTCATGAAGAGATAGTGTTGTGACTGGTGTGATCTTGATGATATCTGCACAATGCTATCGGTTTATGGCTACCGGTTCTTCAGGTGTATATGTTTTGTCTACGTTTTAGATAATACATAATGAGCCCTCTTGGGTTAAATTTTCATGTCTGCCTTTCTTGTGGAGCTTATCTTTTGTTGGTTTTTGCGCCTTATTCTCCTGGACATAACGCTTTTTATTATATTCACATTTGACTTGGATCCAAGGATGATCTCTTACTTTTTACTCTTTGCATTGGACTCGGATATCTTGCCCGTATTTCTAAACTAGAGTTATCCACAGATACATGCAGTCCCTAACTTCTGTCCATTCTGCGTGATATTAATTATCCTTATCATCACACCTCGCCATATTGATTAGGGCACATGCATCTCATACTATACAAGTTTGATATCGGAAGGCTTTGCCAGACCTTTCAGTTATTTGTCGTTCGCAGCTAATCTATAAATTGATGCCAGTACTCTGTCTGCACAACTCCTCATCATCCTTCTCCATCTCTGTATCTTTCATCATCCCCTCTGCCTAATAGAAACCTTTAGTGTCTCCATTTCACCAACAATCTGACTAGAATGATGTCAGCTTTTCCAAAGGAAAAGATCCAGGCTTCAGCTTTCCTCAAAGATCCCACACATATTAAACAGGTGAAGGTCTGGTTTACCGACTTATATCACTTCCATCACGTGTTTGATAGCTTCGATAATATCTATATTGAATACCCGTGGATCCCAACACAGCCTATAGATGATAAAAAAATATGCTGACATACACGCTGTAGGATCTCCGCGATGACAACTCTTCGGAGTCAATTGAAACCGTTGCAACCAAAAAGCGCAAGAGGGGAGATCGACCTGGGGCCAAGCGCCTGAGGATAAGTTCCTCAATGGAGACTATGTCCCCGGGATCGATTCACTCCAAGACCTCCAAGTCCTCCAAGACTTCGCGCAAGAGCTCGCGCAAGTCCTCGGGCAAGAAGGAGTCCAAGAGAGACGACAGTGTGACCAAGTCTGCTATGTCGCGTGAAATCCTACGGTCCACACCTCCCGAGTCTACTCTACGTGAACCCACGCCCAAGCCGTCGGGCCAGCAAATCTCCAAGGTAGCTGCTTCTACCAAGCCCATGAACCCGTTTGAACTCCCAGACCTCTCAGCTTCAGAGTACATCGTCCCTCGCGAGTTGGAGTTGGGGTTGGGCATATTCGACTGCTCGTCTGAGAGAGAGACCTCATACGAGCCAGTCTCCGAATACCTACCCGAGCAGCATAACGAAGCCCCCACTCCGTACACCCCGGTTTTGCGCGGTGTGTCGCAGTACAACGAGCGGATCCAGAGACAGTGTGGGGGTGTGTGCGAGACCTGGTTAGCGCGCCAGATGTATGATGAGCTGGATGATATCTCTACTCGCATTGAAGACATCATGCGTGGGATCAGGGTGATGCTGGAGCAGAAGGGCGCGATGGATGATTGTGATGAATTTAATGGTCTCAATTATCATTTTGGTGAGTCCCCTGGTGCTTTCGAGGGTGGTCCTGAAAATCCATTTGAATTGAGTGATGGGGAAGACAATGAACTCTTTGTGGCTGATGAGCGCGCTCACCCTGGTGAGTCTGGTGTCGTGTCTGGGGATGAATAGATGGGCTTGTTCACTTTTTACTTAACTACAATAGCTTGCTGCGCACATTGCAATACTTTTAGCTTTGGTACTCATTGGCTGTATCGGCTATGGTGGTCGGAAAGCACATAATTGTAGGTCTACTTTCAAATGATCAGACGATTTTTACTTCTATCTTTTCAATCGATTTTCCTTCTACGAGGTAAAACCCCGAAAGAGATAGTCCTAGAGCTCATGAATATTCATTACTTACTGGCATCTCATCTCATATAGCAATAATATCTCTTAGCAACATAGCTCATTTCCACATTCACACTTCAAAGAAGAGGCATCGTCACCCGATTTGTGTAATCGACATTCTCTTTCACACTTTCGATGCGCTCATGACAAGTGCCAAAAACCCTATCCCAAAGACGAGATTGCTTGCCATAGTTATGGCTCTTTCTCCATCCATAGCGGTGATGTAGATCATGATCTTCAATCACCAACTCAGCATCAAATATTTCCAGTAGCCAATTCACAGTAGAGGGTGCACCTCCATGAAGTCGAAGCCCACTATGTCCGATGAACTCCGAGAAAGCAATGTATTGAAAGCAAATCCACCATCCGTAGAACCCCATAGGTAGCCCGATCATCTTCAACGTGGTATACGCAAGAAGCGGAATACCCGTAATATCCATAAATTCCTGCTCATGGTCGGCGTATGCAGAAAGCAAAGGATTGGGATGTTTCGTCAGATGATGCCTACGGTGGAACTTCCACAAAGGGCCCACTGAGTGCATCATACGGTGATACCAGTAGAACCAGAAGTCGACCGTGATGCTGTATAGCCCAATCTCCAAAGGAAGCCATTTCCATTCCAGTGATGCCGGTGTCTTCCTCGGTTGGTAGGTAAGAAATACAGCCATCACCATACGCAGCGTTGAGGTGGATATAAGCTCCCGTATCACCTTGCCAACGCCAACGTCTGGGATCTCATCCCGAGGATGCTTGTCGCCGTCCAGGAAGCCATAGACTTGACCTAGGCGGCGCATGATGTGCATTTCGTGAATTCCGTTTAGCTTGAACGCGCTAGAATACAACGCAAAAGCTGCAATCAGGTGCATGTTTTGGCCGGTATAGGCTGCGTAGGCGTAATGTAGTGCGAGCGGGATCGCAGCATGCAGCAGAATCCACAAGTGGACCGTCCATTCTCGTATGGCGGGGATTTTATCTTTCTTGGAGAATATTGGAACTTCGGCGTCAAATTCAATGAGATGCAGACCAAGAAGCTCAATCATCCAGTGCGAGAAGTTCCATTGAGATCGGTCATGGCGCCAGGTAGATATCATGGAGTCTGCCGAATTGCGCTTGATGGTAGTCGTTGGGTAAGACATCCTTACATGGATATAGATTTCACCCGTAGAAGAGATAATCTTGGGCTATAGGCAGATTTATACATACATTCTTATGGACCTATGTTCGTTCAAAGTTGTCTAGTATAGCCACCATGTGAAGTCATGATCTACACACACAACTCTTAAACAGGAGGCTGCCAGAACTCCATAACCTGTTGAACAAATCAAGAGATACCCAGGCGTTTTGCACCCCTAAAAAGGAATGGAGTGCGAGTTGGATCTTGTAGTGCGGGGCATCAGGACCTGTGATAGAGTCGTCTGCCTCGGCCCCGGATATATACGGATGAGGCCGGGGAATTCCTTTATTATGGGAGAATATTAAATCTTCAGTTAGTGGCTCATGTTTTTGTTTAGCTGTTGATTTCAATTAACGGATGCCCCATTGCGAGACACTATAACCGCACACAAATAGCCGATGAAACTGCGGATGGTACAGAAATAAAACCTATGTAATAAATTTCTTCAAAAAGAAACTTGAACCTATGCCACCGAGGCCTCCCAAACAGAAATGGCGCCCAGTAAAGACTGCCATTACAGATCGGCCAAAGCACCCAAAGGAATCCTGATCTGATCAATGAGTCAGCTACGTTTAATTGATACTAGAAATACAACTACTAACATATGGTGTACAGTGATCTAGAGGTGCAAATCACAAGATGCCGCGAGCAGATCGAGAACATCATGCCTCATGCCTATGAACATAAACTGAAAGAGTTCCCAGTGGAGCAGAAGGAACGCGAGTCATTATGGCTCAACATATATTGACAATTGTAAGCTTGTTAATCATATTTAGCAAAAGGATGGCTGCAGAGCATGGGCTAAATTGGCCCGCCGTCCAACGCCTAGAGCATCTGAAATCTATCCTGGAATGGGCTCAGAGCAATGCCATCAAGGACAAATAAAAGATCGCTAAAGATATCCAAAATGTTATACTAGCCTATCAATCGGGTGTCTTGAATTAGTGTTATGGCTAGCTTTTTGATAACTCGAACCGTTTGTCGATATATGACTACAATCCCACCAACCCCCTTAAGCGTGGCCAAAAGATTCCTACCGCGACCCAGGCTCAAATAGATAGACCGTTTCCGACTGAGCGTCGGTATGGCATTGAGAATCATCCTCAATATAACCCGGATATCCCGTCGGGAAAATCGATAATACAACCAGTTGAACATGGGGTGATATCGGGCCGACGTTGATGTTATTCTTTGACTTTCCGATCTCTCTCTCGCGCGCAGAGCTAGAGATTATTCTCTGTTTATCAGATACTCTAGTATTTCTATATAAGTTATATAATATATTATTATCATTTTCCCGGGATAATCTGAGGGTGATAGACGTAGATTGGCGTCTTTGATGGAGATATTTCAAGGCTGTTTATCTTGTCCAAGTAGAGAATCCCATTGAACCTAGTATCAGATTAAAGAAATCTGTGATGTATTGATGTCAACTATGAGACACTCGACTCCCAACATCTATCTCCCATTTTCTACATCCAAGTCCAGTTATTGCCGTCATACATCAAGATATCCATATTCTCCTGACTAGAAAACTGAGTTGTCGACTGGCTTTCAATCTGGCTGAGAACTTCCACAGACATCCGGCGTAGGTTGTCCACCCTCCTTTCATCATCGGAGGGCCACTCATACCCCAACGCCCTCTCGTGACCCGTGCGAGTCTGGGAGAAACGGAAGTTGGACTGAGTATCTTTTGGGGGAATTTGATTATCGTCAAGGGCGCCGCTCCGATCTTCCATTGGAATCGAAGGGATGCCAAACTCGGCTAAATTAGCCGGGCTTCCTCTGTCAACGCACCAGTCTGAGTTAGCCACGGAGCCTAAGGATTCTTGCTCTAGGTCTGAGGGCATGGATAAGTGTGGGTTGTAGAATGAGCCCAATTTGGGGGGGCTTTCTTGGGGTAGCATCGCGTATTTCTCCCTCGCTGAATCAAAAAGTTCTTCATCGGAAGAGACTTCGCCGTCTAGTTCTCTCATGAATCGCTTGAATCCTTGGGTATACTCTCTCATATCAGGGTCATCTTGTCGGTTGTTATGCTGGTTAGCATGACTATTGTCCTTGTATCCACTTTCGTGGTCGTAGTCTTCGTTCTGCAGTTCCTGGGTATCCCCGGACTCGTAGGTGGCTCCTTCATGGTCACACCAAAGGCATAGTTTTCCATGGCTACTGACCACAGGCTCGGTGGTCCTATGGAATGCATTGGAGATGTTGCTGTGGAGGTCATTCTGCTGGTAGATGATCTGATCGACGCTTTGGCTGGCTCTGGATCGTTCATTCGAGACCCGATCCTGGCTCGGAAATAGCAATACCATCGGGTTGAGAGTCTCTGGTGTAGACAACGTGTGAGGAAGCATTGGCGCGAGGGGCCCATTCTAGAAGAATGAATAGTCAGCTTGCAAGCTCAGATTGGTTGTGTCAGATATTAACTAACACATGCACTGCTTCGGTCGCCGTCGGATCCCAACGAACTCCGGGGTGATATGTTAGTGTCGTCCTCCGTCTTCTCGCGGAGTTGGAACCGCAATGTTTTGGCTGCAGATTTGATCTTTGTAACGACCCCCTTCCACTCGCCATCGGTTTCAAATGCGGTGTTTAAATGCACATGGGACCAAACCGGATCCCGTTTGTTCTTCATCCAAACCCACTGAGTGTTGAGGGTGGCAAATGGAACGAAGCCCCGGATACCGCGCTCGTTCAGATGCCCCCTAAACATGTAGGAGAATATCTCCTCGGTTTCCTTCTTGTCGCACATAAAGAATCGATACAAACAACACAGTACCTGTCGCTTGTATTGGTCCCATCGAAGCGTGGGTCTCTTTGGAAATTTGGTTGACTTCATTTTGAGTTGATGGGGGAGATAAGTTATAGCAAGGACTGAAAGTTCAAATATGGAAGTGAAAAAAGATTGCCATAGCTTCTGGGGTTGGGGCAAGAGAGATTTATAAACGAAACAGTTGGATGGCAAACACGAGTCAAAAGAGGAAGTGGTAACAATACTTCATCTGCGAATACTGGGACGCTGAGCTAGAGAAGTTTGACTAGAAAGGTAATAAATTCCTTATAAAACCAAGTCCCCTATAGTTGCTTGATGTATAAAAGCTACTCTAAACGTGATAACCTTCCTTAGAAACCACATGAGTGCAAGGCCCTTAGGATTGAACGCCTTTCTTTATATCTACTCATTGTTTGAAACTACCTTTTTATGTAAAGATCCTTAGCACTGGTGATATGGCTAAGCTCGAGTATATCCAGTTTACCTGTGACCCAGATTCTGTGAGTTCTCCGGAGCATCTCTTCTATTCTTAGATGTCGAAATAGATTCTCGATGAAATGGATATACGACTCGAATAGATCTTGGCTTTCTTGGACCAGTCATCTATACGAAATCGATCTCGTTCAAGATCACATTCCGACTGATAGTCGACTACCTGGTCGCAGAGGGCGTTCCTTTCTGACAGAATGTTTGGCTTGATTCAATTATTGAATGCTGGGTTGAAGGAGGATCTCCAAATCTCCATAGTGTGGTACAAGCACTGGATTCAATCGACCTACATTCCCTAGCCTCCGGGTATCTGAACGAAAATTGGTTAAACAGGCGCTCATCTCTATCCAAGACGGCGTACAGACTACTACCCAGAATTTAGAGGCTGTACTGGAGCATAAATGGACTCGGGCAGAAAGACGGGTTGCTGGGCGGTTAGTCCAGTGACTTAGGGTTATACATGTGTCTTTTATCATGGGAGCTCATCCCTCTTGAATACAACTCTCTTCCCTCTATTTTTTTTTCCCCGCCTCACCGTGCCAAGCGCACCAACAGTAATACTAGCGGGTGGGTGCTGGTCGAAGTACGTACCCGCGAGGGGCGGTGCGCTTGGCAGCACTCTTTTTTGTATCTTTGTCACAAAACCCGAACCGGAAATTGAAGGTCTGTTTGAAACAGATTTTGACCTATCAAGCGCAGCATTTCTGCAGATCCTCCTCGGGGGTCGTCGTGGGGTAATCGGGAGAAGCCCTACTCTCCACAACCTCCAACTACCTTGGGTCATAAGTGGAAGAAGTAAAAGATATCAACTACGCATTTCCAAGCCCCAAGCTCATCATGGTCGATAGACTACCAACTAAAGAAGATCGTGTGGATGTCCTCATTGTTGGTGCCGGGCCAGCTGGGCTCATGCTGGCCAACTGGCTAAGTCGCTGCGGAGTCAAGACTCGGATTGTTGACAAGCGCCGCTCCAAGGTACATTTTCATACAAAGATAAGAGCTACCACATCACATACTGACTCCAGTGCAGATCTTCAACGGTCAGGCGGACGGTCTGCAATGTCGCACTCTGGAGATCTTCGACTCTTTTGACTTTGCCCACCGGGCATGGCGCGAGGCGAACCATATGCTGGAGATCTGTCTTTGGAATCCTGATGGAAATGGCCGTCTTCAACGAAGCGACCGCATTCCAGATACCATTCCTGGAATCAGTCGTTTCCAACAGGTCGTACTGCACCAGGGTCGCATCGAGCGGTTCTTCCTCGATTCAATCAAGGAACATAGTGACATCCGTGTTGAGCGTGGTGTGTTGCCCACAACTTTTGATTTCGACGAAACCAAAGCAGGCGATTTCGAGGATTACCCTATCAGTGTTAAACTTAGTACCTTGTCCGAGGAAGAGTCCACGCCTCAACAACGGCTACAACATCAGAAATCTTCTGACGGCCAGGAAACAGTAATCGAGGATGGGCTTTTCCGAAGTAACTTGGTTGCTGATGACACTGAAGACCTCATCCAGGCGACAGAGGCCAAAGGCAATGGAAACCTCAATCAAGTGGAGCATATCAAGGCTAAGTTTCTGGTCGGTTGTGACGGTGCCCACTCATGGGTGCGTCGTCAGGTCGGCTTTAACTTGGAAGGTGGCTCAACCGATTATATCTGGGGTGTGCTCGACATTGTCCCCATCACGGATTTCCCAGATATCCGCCATCGATGCGCCATTCACTCCGCGGATGCGGGTAGCTTGATGGTGATTCCCCGCGAGAATAAACTTGTTCGGCTCTACATCCAGCTCCAGGCGACAGATTGTCAGAAGAATGGCTCCAAGGCTGACCGGTCCTGGATTACTCCCGAGATCATCCTGGAGTCTGCCCAGCGTATCGTGCATCCATATAAGCTCGATTACGCGTATTGCGACTGGTGGACTGCGTACCAGATTGGACAGCGAGTGAGTAACAAATTTTCGCAGAGCGATCGCGTCTTCTTGGCAGGTGATGCTGTCCATACGCACTCTCCCAAGGCTGGACAGGGTATGAATGTCAGTATGCAGGATAGTAAGTTTTCGAATCCTGGCGTGCTAGGAATTAATACTCACATTTCGAATAGCGTATAACCTGGGGTGGAAGCTCGCCCATGTGATCAACGGTCTCAGTGAGCCCTCGATTCTCCAAACCTATGAGTCTGAGAGAAGGCAGATCGCGCAAGATTTGATCGCTTTCGACCACCGCTTTTCGCGACTTTTCTCCGGACGCCCGGCCAAGGACATCATGGATGAAGAGGGAGTCAGTATGGAAGAATTCAAAAGCGCATTTGAAAAAGGAAACGAATTCGCAAGCGGAATAGGTGAGTTTCTTACATTAGTTGAGGTGTCTGCAGTACTAACCTCCATTTTTGTAGCTGTTGACTATGCTGCCAGTATTCTCATTGCGAAGGAAACGGATGTCGCAGTACAAGCCAAGGAAACGATCATCAGCCACCCACAGCTGGCTGCAAAGATTGATATTGGCAAACGTATGCCTAGCTTCAAAGTTTTGAATCATGCCGATGCACGCCCATGGCATCTACAGGAGCTATTAAAGAGCAACGGGCGCTGGCGAATGGTAATTTTCCCTGGACGGCTCACCGAGCCACAGAATATGGAACGCTTCGAAAGGTTAGGCGCCTCTTTGGGAGGGCCAGACTCTTTTATTCGCCGGTTCACACCACCAGAGAAGCCTATCGATAGCGTGATTGAGGTGTTGACGATTCATTCCGGATCACGAACAGAAATCGAACTTCTTGACCTTCCTGACGCGTTTCACCCCCATCACGGTGACATGGGATGGGATTATTGGAAAGTCTTCGTCGACGAGCAGTCTTACCATGAGGGACACGGTCAAGCTTATGAAAATTATGGCATTGATCCAAACCGCGGAGTTAGTGTCATTATTCGCCCTGACCAGTATGTTAGTTGGGTGGGAGAGGTCGATGACTACGAGCAGATGTCGCGATTTTTCACTAGCTTCATGAAGCGACAGGCGGGAAACTAGGAGATCAGAACTATGGGGCATCTACAAGCATGTTGCTCTAGTACTTGCCCATGGAAAATGATAGGTATAGCAGCGCCCTATAGACCAAATTTTCATGTCAAATACGACATTCTATTCCATATCGCAGTTGCTAGCGAGAAACTAAGCCAAATAAAATCAACAAAACAGCCGACTAGCACCAGCAGTTAAAGTGTCAAATACACCAGGTAATACATAATTTGGTGAGAGGTGGAATCGCTGTTTGGTGGGTGAATTCTGCAGTCTACCAGGACGATGCGCTCTTCTGGGCGATACTCGGCCAGGGCAAAGGAGGCGAGAGTGGTGATGGTGAGAAGAAGTAAGTGCATGTTGGGAACCGAATGATCTATTGTGTTTTGATGGTCTCGTTTTCGTTTCGAATGCCTGTGTGAAAGTCAGATCTAAGGTCATTGTCAAGGTATTTATAACGTAGAAAGAGTGCTCATCAAGAAAGAAGCTAAACTATCGTGCTAAGCTGCAGTCTACGATATCATGTCAGACTCTGCAAATACCAGCAAAGCATTCGCCCGTCGGCACCGCCGTGAGAGATTATAGGCGGAGTTGTGAAAATCTTGGAATAAGATCAAAATCTGCAAGCCCAAATTATAAGCTGTTGTATCAGCTCAGCTCGGGGACGCCGTAAAGGAGCCCCCGTCCTATACGGCCTGGGGGCTCCTATACGGCCTTTCTGCAGGGCGTGTCGTATTTTCTGCAAGCTTTCTGGGAAGGCAAGTCATGTCCATTACACAGAGATTTTAGGGGTAAAACACAAAGCCCAGGAAACCAAACACTTGGAAGTAGAAAATTGACCTAGGTAAAATGCTTCTCGAGCTTTGGCACAGTTTTTTCTCAATTCTCATTGTCGGGTTTCAAGGTGTATCTTTGGGTTGACTTTATATTCCTTGACTGGAAGACTTGGTAGATAGCCGTGGTGCTGCTGATACCTCCACGAAAGCCCCTTGATATACCAGCTTCAACCACAGTATTCACTATGATCACACCCAAGTATCTATGCATCTATCGATCTAAAGCTTCGGCTTCCCGACCCCATTCGCCTTCCCCTTCTCCTCGAAATACTCCCTAACCCTCTCCCTCGCAACAGAGACAACCTCCGCATCCTCAACAGTGGGTGGGACACTAACCTCCGCCGTATACTCCCCCTTTACCCCAAGCTCAACAAGCTCCTTCAGTACACGTCTAAGCGTCTTCCCACTCCGCGTCTTAGGAATCATCCCCCGGCCCTGTATAATCCCACCCAGCGACGCAATAGCCCCAATCTGCTCGCGGACCAGCGCGTTAACCTCAGCAAATAACTGCGGGCTGGGTGCTGCCGGAAGAGGTCCGGTTTCTCCAGGGATTGCGCCAGCTTTGGGCTGGATGAACGCGAAGGGAAGATGGCCTTTAAGGGGGTCGGGGATGCCGACGACGCTTGCTTCGCTGATCGATGGGTGTGAGAGGATGGCTTGTTCAATGGTTCCTGTGGGAATGAGTCAGATCAAGTATCCTCGGGTCATGGCGCTGGGTGGCAAAGAAAAGAACATTCTTACCAGTACTGAACCGATGCGCGGCAACATTGATGATATCGTCACTCCGCGACATAACATGCACGTATCCATCCTTATCAATCATCCCCGCGTCACCGGTATCAACCCAGCGGCCATTAAACCGCTTGAGATATCCACGGTAAAACCGCTCCTCGTCCTCAAAGAGGGTCGTGAATGCCGACGGGGCGAGTGGTGGCGCCATAACGATATTACCCATTGTGCTCGGCACGACTTCACTGCCTTCGTCATCGACGATGCGAACGTCAAAGCCCGGCATTGGGAAGCCTGCTGAGCCGGGACGGGGCGTGAGGGGCGAGTGATCTGGCCCGGATGCTAGACTAGCAAGGGCAGCACTTCCATTCAAGGCAACACCCGTAATCGGGGATCCGGATTCCGATGACCACCAGTTATCAATAACAAGCGCACCGTCTGCTGCATACTTACCAAGCAGATCTTGGTATGAGCGAACAATACTCGGCTCGCTACGTTCACCGGCGAGGAAAAGCGCACGGAGAGATTTCAATCCTCCACGTTTCCCAACCTCGCCGATAATCTGGTCGTTTGGGTCATCTTTCCGGATAGCTCGCATGGCAGTTGGAGCCGTAAAAAGCGCATTCACGTTGTGTTTCTCAACGATGCGCCAGAATGTCCCTGCGTCCGGCGTGCCGACGGGCTTGCCTTCAAACAGGACCGTTGTGGCGCCGACTAGTAGCGGCGCATAGAGAATGTACGAGTGCCCGACGACCCAGCCTATGTCTGATGCGCAGAACATTGTGTCACCGGGACCTTTTATCCCAAAGAGGGATTTTATCGAGAGTTCCAGACCCACGGCGTGTCCACCTGCTTCGCGGAGGACACCTTTGGGGAGGCCGGTTGTTCCTGTGGGAAAATATAAGCATGAACAGAACAAGGTCTATCAGGAACCAGATTTGGTTCTGAGACCTACTCACCACTTGTGTAAATAATATAAAGCGCGTCCGTACTCTTGACGGGAACAGGTCCAGCCTTAACCCCACGGAACTGTGCACTCTTAACGAGCCTCTGCCAGTTACGCTGTCCACCACGCTTATCGGGCTGATTCCAACGCAGTTGGTCACGCTGCCAGACAATGATCCTGCTCGGCTTGAAGCTGCTTGCCTTGACAGCGCCCTCAACGAGCGGTCGGTAAGAAATGGGCCCCTTGGATCCCTCTATTCCACATGACGCTGTCATTATAGCTCTCGGGCGCGCGGCCTCGATACGCTGTGCTAGAGCTTGCGGGGCGAAACCACCGAAGACAGCGGCGTGGACTGCACCTAAGCGGGCTATTGCTAACGCGGCGATTAAGGCCGCGGGGATCATTGGCACTAGATGCGATGTGTGGTCAGTTTGGGGCGCCAGTTTTTAATTCCCCAATGGTGGTGATTTGCATACTGTAAATAATAACAACATCGCCCTTCTGTACCCCTTCCTCCCTCAATACACCAGCAAGGACCTCAACCTCATCAAGTAGACAGGCATAGGTATACTTCTCCGTTACACCGGTAACTGGTGATTCCCAAACAATTGCAACGTTGTCTCCATGACCTGCGAGCACATGTCGGTCGACACAATTGTAGGTTGTGGAGATCTCACCGTCGGCAAACCACGACCAGTGCTCATGCTCGGTTCCGTTTAGGGATTTTGTCTGCCGAGTTAGGGCACGTGAAGGCTTGCGGTGCCAGTGGAGTCTGGCCGCGTGATAAGACCAGAATGTTTCTGGATCGTGAAGGGAATGTGAGTGGGTGGTCTGTTGGGGGTGCGGGGACATGTCGAAGGTAATAGAAGTGGCAAAGTTGAAGAGGTGAGACAAAGAATCCCAATACGCTTCTACCCGAGGTCTCAATAATGAGAGAAGCTAAGACCCTTGGCCTTTTGTGGGGAGTGCGAGTCCGTGCTTTTCCCCCGCACTTTTATTCCGGAGCCAGAATGCAGAACCTATACTTGTGTGTAGGCACACTTGTTCGAACATTGAAAAAAAAACCCTTTATTGTCTATATTGCATAAATGGCTGAAAAATGAATCAAATAAAAGCTCAGTCGTAGGGTATCATATCGAAATGCCTGCTAATGCGCGACTGCGATCTTCTGGCTTCGTCTGGGAATTTTTGGGTTTTCGGACTTCGAGACGTGTCCGAAAAGATTCCGATCGCAACTTATCAAGCAGAGATCGAAGAGACTATCGTCAAGGAAAAAAACAAAAGAGTAAGGCGAGGGGAAATCTAGACAGCCAATCTGCATGCCTCGGCGCATTCCCAAAAAGCAAAATCAAAGCAAAGGGGGAGGGGGGGGAAACAAAAAAGAAAGAAAGAAACCTGCAAAGGCTTGCAGACACTGGCCTCAATCCCCATGCCAGTTCTCAAGGTCTTTAGAATGCGACCATAAAAGATGTAAGATGTAGCATGGCAGGGACCACCGACGCCGAACGAGGTAAACCAAAAGACAGAACCCTCCAGATGCACCCGGGACCAAAAGAGAGGAAGAGAGAAAAAAAGGAAGCCATTATTTCAGTGAGCAACAAATCCAACTCCCGGACGGACCCGGCCGATCACAAGAGTGTACACTGGAGCCGACTGCGATGTCGAGTCCGGTCAGGTCGGAAAGTCTTAGGATATTCGGGGCCCGCGTCGCGATCGCGGTGACCGGATCCAAAACCTGTCGGACGACGGTCTGCGCCACGACCCCCTGCCGCCTGTTGTCGTTGCTGGCGCAGCATGCGGACAACGTCGTAAAAGGCCTTCTCCACGTTGATGCAGTTCTTGGCGGAGGCTTCGACAAATTCACATCCCAGCTCCTTGGCCAATGCTTGACCTTCCTGTGCTGAGACTGCGCGCTCCACGGCCTTGTCGCTCTTATTGCCGACTAGCATGACGGGGACGGGCATTGCGGGACCCGCCGATGCGCTCATGGGCGAGTTCAAGTAGCTGGGGCCGGAAGGCGAACCGGAGCTTGACGATTCCTTGACCATCTTAATTTGGTTGTAAAATTTGGTGATGCGGGAGAAGGAGGCGCGCGACGTGATGCTGTACACCAATACGAACCCCTCACCATCCCGGATCCACTGGTCTCGTAGTGCGGTATATTCTTCCTGACCCGCTGTGTCCAGCACTTCGAGCATACACGACTGTTGATCGATCACGACTTGTTTGCGATATGAATCCTCGATGGTTGGATCGTATGTTTCGACAAAGTGATTAAGGCATAACTAGATGCACCGGTTTAGTGGGTATTTTTCTGCGTCAAGGGAGGTCAAACCAACCTGAATGGTAAGGGCGGTCTTTCCAACACCTCCATCTCCCAACACCACCAGCTTGTACAACGTCATTTTTCCAGCCATGGCGACCGGAATTGAGAATCGAGAGAAATCAACTTTGAGAAGTTAGCATCTTTATAGTATATAGCTTGAAAGAGACATACTAATTATTTCAGGGGAAAGAGAGGGAGAAGGTCGAAGCGCAAGGAGGGGAAAGGGTGAAGTAGCCCACGTTCCAGGCGGGGGGGGGAAAAAGAAAGAAACGCGATTCACCCCAATTGTTTTCAACGCAAAAAAAAAAAAAAAAGGTAAGGGAAAAGCAAAGAGAAGGGAAAAGATAGAGGTTTGGGAGGGGGGATTGTGCGAAGACTGGGGGGGGGGGCTGGAACGAAGTGGAGAGAGGGGTTCAAAAAGAGAAAATTATAGAGAAATTATAGAGAAATTATAGACTATAGAGAAGATATATAGAATCAAAGAGAACTTTTACTATTTTCCCCCTCTGAGACGGTTTCGGGTGGGAAAAAAAAAGATATAATCAAATGCTAAAGCTCTTAAGGCAAAAAAGGGATTTCATATGGTCTTTCAGTGACAGCTCCATGAAGTCATACATTTTTCTTTTACCCACATTTTATGCTAATTTTCTTAGGCTGTACCTACCCCTATGCCATTATGTCCTTTATCTTCATATATAATCAAATTCTCTAAAGCCTTTGAAAAAAAAGTGAAAGGAAAAGAAATGTCCAGGTCCCGAAGCTCCACTGTAAAAAGGAGAAACGCACAGGGCACAGTGGATAATCCCGGACACTTGGCTGAAGCTCATTTCCTTGGAGAGGAAGCTCTTGTTAATGTTCTTCTTAAATTAGTTTAACCGAGAACCTGTTCTTTATAATTCATTCTCAAATTAAGGCTATGTACCCCAGTCCACGTGGGAAACATCTATGGTTTCACGCTTGTCCTATCAGCCTCTAGACTCCATATATATAATATACATATATACATATATATGTTCTGTTAAAGTTCTGCAATTGGAATGTAATGTAATGGAGATTAAATTAATGCGTTTTGTTTTGTTTTATAGACTCGGTGGTACTACCAACGTACTCTTCCGACAACATACCTACTTAGGTATAGTGGAGTTATAAAGTCTCCCTCCACGGCCCTGGGAGACGCTATCCGAATAGCGTAGGTCAAATGCGATCCAAATCATCTGGATTTGGGATTCCGGAACATCGAAAGGTTCAACGCCAACCTCAAACTAGTTTAGGAGTCTTGGCCAGTTTAGATTGGCTGTCACTATCACGTTATACCCTTGCATTTTCCCCCTCTGCTTCTCTTCCGGCATACCTAATACCTAGCTAGGCGATAGGTTCATGTTCATATAGCCTGTATAGAACCGGTAAATGTTATCCCTTGGGGTCAAATGTTCACGGAACGGCACGTCAAAATCCCCATACATAGATCATCCTAAGGCTAGCTACAAAGCTGGACAACGGAAGGAAGTTCGGAAGGTGGGTATGTACTCTGTAGCTCCTTTTTTTTTTCCCACTTCTTTTAATTTGTTTGGCCCGTTTTTTTTTTTGGTTTTTTTTTTTCCTTCATAGCAGTCGGTCAATTTCCATAGTAGGTAACTGGTTGGGCATCAAACCCAATAGGGTCCGGGATGTCTCCGTTTCCCGTCCCAGTTCTGTGGCCGCGGGCCAGGGTGATATCGGGGAAACTATTTTGTCTAATTTGGTTTAACCCGGGCCGCGACGGATATTTTTTTTTCTTTTTTGATCAGACTCTGTAAACTTTCACCCCCTAATACAATGCATATTCAAGCATCTTTGTCCCCCAGCAGATTGAACTTCATAGCAATCATCGAAAGGGAATCGTTGAGGGTCCTAGAACTCTTTATCTCTCCATCCCGTTCTCACGGAAAGGTCCGGCCCAACGTTGCTAGGAATACTAAAAGGGGGAGCTCTGCACCAATAGTGACCGTGTATTTGATTGCAACGGCACAGGTTGATTGGCTGACGGCTCCTCCCGCTTGGCCGTTATATGGAGAATGAATTAAACACCCTGGTCTAGGATTTCGTATCGACTACGGGTTACCGGTGGCGGAATTCGATATGCACCTGCCTTATACTGATGTGCATGGTGCAACGGCTCTTGTTCAGGCCCCGTGAATCCGTTACCGTTTGTGGATGCATCCATCGTGTGTCGGGCTCCTTGCGATCGACCGGTTCCCAGCAGATTGGCCCTTGGAAACGGGATGTAATATTTCTTAAAATTATTCCTTATAGCTCGATCTTGGCATGAGGGATCTTCATTATTGATCCGTCGGATACTGCTTGAAGGGATCCGGGTATATCCCGTACCTTGTAAGGATCACATCTTGTAGAAGTAGATGTCGATCTCAATGTGCTAAGCACCCGAAATATCCCCGATGTTCTAAAGCGTCGAAATAATGGGACTCTCCCGTTACACTATTGAATCAACACTGGGACTAGTTCAATGCGTGGACGTGTCAAAGCTCAATATGTAATAGATATATGATTTGTGGAGAAAGGGGGATGCCATGTGGCCAAAATGCTTAAGCTGCAAGCATGATCTAGCATCACTGCAACGTTATGGCCCTAGTCTTTAGGTTTGCACTAGACCCTCAATAGTACTAGTTTTCTTTTTTAGAAGAGCAAGTTCATATCACTTAGATTCAAGCTGCAATAGGGGCTGCCATTCTATGGGATCTACAGAGATCGATATGGCTTCGGGCAGGGCAATCTATCTGTGACACGGCTGGGAGTGTAATTAGCCTAGAGTATAGCCCTTGACCTCGAAGCCCATACCGCCGATCAATCTATGCTACATGTACGGAGTACCAATGAGTGGGCTTCAGGCAGCGTGTAATCTAATATATACATTTGTAGATTGTAACGTTCAAAGCTCTACCTCTATAGTTCTTTTAACCCACGACCGGATATGACGGGCGGCGGTATCTGCTTTATTCTCATTGAATACCAAGAAAAAGCTGCATATTCAGAGATGATGTCGGTGTTGGAGTGACGCTATAACGAAGAACTCCCAGTGGGAGATTTCCAAAGTTGCCATGCCAGTGCCACCCAACAAGACCATAGATATTGTTCAGTTTGTACATATGTACTATATTGAACACGCGGCGCTATAAACAAGATTTTTTGACATCCGAAACAACATATAATCCCATTGAGTTAGCAGAGATCACCCTCGCTGGATATCATTCAAATAAGCCGTCACCCTCTCCACCAAAATCCGCCGCGGCTCCGCTTGATCGCTATCACTCAGCGCATGCGATGCATTAGGAATAACCATGCTCCTTGAATCCCAGATCTGTCGCCCACTCCCGTCAACAGCAATCTGCCACCGTTTCAAGAGAGCCTCCTTATTAACCCACGGCGGCACCGACTGATCCCTCCCAGAGTACAGCACCAGCACCTTCTGCTTCAGCAAACCCCTCTCCCGAATCATTCCGAATGTCCCACGGAACTGCTCATCACTCAA